CCATTATTCTGGTAATTAGAGTGTTGTCAATCTTAATGTTAATTTGTGCATCTCCTGCTCTGCTACCAATCATAATATAGTAGGTTTTGTCAGTGTTAAGCGTAAGTTTATTGGCTGTCATCCAAGTCGATATTTTAATCAGCTCCTCATTCACAATGGTGTTGAGGGTGGCAAGATTAGGGTGAGAGATGACATAAGTCGTGTCATCAGCAAAGAGAATGGGTTTCAAGTAAGTAAGTTTATTCAGGTATACACAAATACAGTTACATAGAATTATCATACATAGCAGCATGTGTGTAGAGAACCTAGGATAACCCAAAAAAGTCAGACAGAGTGACTTATTTCCATTGGGGTCCTTTTACCTTATTATTATAATATAAAGGTTATAATATTTTCTTATTATTCTACAATGAAGATAACATCTTATTATCATACTAAAAAGACTATCTACTACACCAAGGTCATTAAGACTATCTACAATACGAGGGTCATTACTAGGAATAAGGTAAAATAAGGTAATAATAATGATAATAATAATATCTTTATTTACTATAAGTACATGTACATTATTATTATTATAATCAAGGGGGAAGCGCTAAACCCGGAGGATTATACAGCGCCTGGGGGGGGGGGGAATGTGGAAGGCATTCAGGCTTAATTCGGGGAACTGGAGCACAGATCCAATTCCCTAAATCAAGAGCCCCTCACCAACATCAAGGAACCTTCCTTGAGGGGAAGTACATGCACAAGGTATACAGTCCTAGCTGACATCAATGAAATGCTACTATATAGAAAGCCGCTTGTTATTGCAGAGCATTTCGGCAAATTAGGTCAGTTTTGTCCCAGGATGCGACCCACACCAGTCCACTAACACACAGGTACCCATTATATTGATGGGTGAACATAGACAACCGGTGTAAGGAAACACGTCCAATGTTTCCATCCCCTTCGCCGGGAATCGAACCCGGACTTCACCGTGTGAAGCGAGAGCTTTTGCCACCAGGCTACAGGGTACTAATATTAAGATGAAAATATCGCTAACAAGCAATACAAGAGGCAAAACAACCACGGGGGAGTTGAATCATAGTTCTAGGCCTCTCGTATGGCATTCAACATATCAGAGCTTGCATTGTTGCAGAAAAGAGATTGAAGTCCAAGCAAACACGTTGAAAGGAAGCGTTTTTGCACAAATTCGAGCAAAAACGTTTCCTCTGAACGTGTTAGCTTGGACTTCAGTCTTTTCTGCAACATTGCAAGCTCCTGATGTGTTTGCAACACAAAAGGCCTAGAGCTATCATTTAACTACCCCCCAATCCCCATCATGGTTGCTTTGGATATATTTAGTTTATTCAGGTACAGGTACACTTAAGTACAATTATCATCCATAGTTTAACATGTGTAAATTGCCTTGGATAACCCAAATAAGTCAAAGTGACTTGTGTGTAATTGTACGTAAATAAATTTGTGGAAATAAATCACTGACTTTTTTGAGGGCTATCCTAGATAAGACAACACAATAAGTGTCAGGGGCCCAAGACTGTTCAACTGCCTCCCAGCATACATAAGTGAGATTACCAATAGACCCCTGGCTGTCTTCAAGCAGGCATTGGATAGGCACCTAGAGTCAGTACCTGACCAGCCGGGCTGTGGCTCGTACACTGGGTTGGGTGCGACCAGCAGTAATAACCTGTTGTTAGGTAAGACACACATGCAACAGTTAGGTAAGACACATATGCAACCTAACTGTTGCATATGTGTCTTACCTAACAACCTGTCGGTATTTTATACCATAGTAATAACCTGGTTGATCAGGCCCTGATCCACCTTGAGGCCTGGTCACAGACCTGGCTGCAGGGGCGTTGACCCCCGGAACTTTCTTCAGATATAACTAAATAAACTTACAGGTACAATTATTATACTAGTAATGTGTAAATTATCTATGATAACCCAAAAAAATCAAGCGAAGTAACATTTTTCCATAGGGGTCCTTTATGTCTAAGAAATAAGAACTATGACGTTAATTACCACATTCAACTACAATGACAACAGATATCACTGAACCAACACGACTAGAGCTGCATCATCGAGAATTTGAATGTCTAGTTAAAAATTCCTCGATAGACGAGGACTGCCACTACATAGTCTTACAATGAAAACAGCATTGTGAATATTCAAGATTTCTCGGGGACGAAAGCTGGAGAATATTATAAATCAAAACATAAAACAGTGTTGCACATGGCCCAGCCCTGTGGCACCCCCGTTGTCTTAGACGAGCATGTACGACGTCACTTGATTTCTGCAGAGAAAAGTACTCCTCATGGAAGGTTCCTTGATGTTGGTGAGGGGCTCTTGATTTAGGGAATTGGATCTGTGCTCCAGTTCCCCGAATTAAGCCTGAATGCCTTCCACATCCCCCCCTGGGCGCTGTATAATCCTACGGGTTTAGCGCTTCCCCCTTGATTATAATAATAATGCAGAGAAAAGTTTTTAATAAAATGGAATAAACGACCGCTTAAACTAATGGCATGTAATTTAACCGGTATTCTCCATCGTCATATATCAAAAATATCTTGGTGACCAAGAGTTTGCAGCTGGAAGATTTGCTATCGTAGTTCGATCGCTAGTGCACTCAAGTGTCTCTCCCTCTCCCTCTCTCTCCCTCTCTCTCTCCCTCTCTCTCTCCCTCTCTCTCTCCCTCTCTCTCTCTCCCTCTCTCTCTCTCCCTCTCTATCTCCCTCCCTCTCTATCTCCCTCCCTCTCTCCCCCCTCCCTCCCTCTCTCCCTCCCTCTCTCTCTCCCTCCCTCTCTCTCTCCCTCTCTCTCTCCCTCTCTCTCTCCCTCTCTCTCTCCTCTCTCTCTCTCTCTCTCTCTCTCTCCCTCTCTCTCTCCCTCTCTCACGCACACTGAGATCAAGGGGGTCGCCTCCCTGTACGGCTGAAAACATTTGAACGTTCCCTTAAGACACCTGCTGTCGCTGTTCATCATACCTCGAGAGAGTTCCGGGGGTCAACGCCCCCGCTGCCCGGTCTGTGACTAGGCGAGAATTCACAAATGCTTAACTGCAATACCTTTCTTAATCAATTGTGCATATCTGTGCCTAGCTTCATGCACAAGCATGTTGCATTCAGATCTCAGGCTACTTAGCGCAAGTAATGAGAATGGCGAGTCGGTTAGTTACATTGTCTAAGGTCATAGTCCATGAACTTGAGAGCAACAAGTATGGCAAGCAGTTCATTTTGTTATTGGTTCTAATACATTTCTGCATTATAGTACCATCAGGCTTTGCTAATGATCATGCACTTGAACATCAATGGGAGTTTATAAGTACATGATACAACTGATACAGACCTAGCTGACATAAATAAGATAAGATTTCGTTCGGATTTTTAACTCCGGAGGGTTAGCCACCCAGGATAACCCAAGAAAGTCAGTGCGTCATCGAGGACTGTCTAACTTATTTCCATTGGGGTTAAGGCCTTAATCTTGTCCCCCAGGATGCGACCCACACCAGTCGACTAATACCCAGGTACCTATTTGCTGCTAGGTGAACAGGACAACAGGTGTAAGGAAACGTGTCGAAATGTTTCCACCCGCCGGGAGTCGAACCCGGGCCCTTCGTGTGTGAAGCGGGAGCTTTAGCCACCAGCCACCAGAGCCCCTGGTTATGCTGAGCATTTTGGCCAATTAAGGTTGATTTACCCCAGGATGCGACTAGCAGCAGTCAGCTTATACCCAGATACCTACTTAATATTAAGTGAATAGGAGAAGCAGGTGTAGGGAAACATGCCCAGCGTTTCATTCGTGCCGGGGATCGATCCCGGACCCCTCATTGTGTAAACTGAAGATGCTAAGTGACATCGTGTATTTGATTCATTTGGACATCAGTTTCAGTCTTTAAGATACATTTGTTGCTCACCTGTACTGAGAAAAGTTTGGAGCTCTTCTATGCAAGGTATGTAATTTATTCATGACTGTAACCATGTATAGGAGTGAGGCTGATTCATTACCTTTGTAACTTGCCATGGTTGTGACCACATCTACCTGGAGTTCATTACCTTTGTAACTAGATCAGCTATCATAACTTTGGGGTCCAGTCCCTGGACCCATTATGTACCTTTGTAATCTTTTGACTACCGCCCACAGGATGGGTATGGGGTGCATAATAAAGATATTAAACTAACAACTATGCAAGGGTTTAGATAGGTTTGACTACATATTAAAATCAACGAAGGTGCTTATTCAGGTGACATTATCTCATGCTTGTAATATCAAGTTTGCTTATTGTGTACTGTATATAGGCTTGAAGCTAAGTCTCCAAAGTAAAAAATTCTTTCAATAATGGTTTCCACTCTACCATAGTCTTCCACTAGATCTCACTAGTGTGTATCACGTCCTGAGAAAACGATGTTGTGCAAAAGTTTCAAAGAAAACTCTCGTCCTACTGAGAGTAAAAATAAGATGTTGATTCAGAAAAGAAAATTAGTTTATAGTTATTAGTGTGAATTTGTACAAAGGTTCTGAGAATGCAGAGATGTTGAAGGCTGAACATAAACTATTAAAAAATTATGAAGCATTAACATGGCGATAGACGATTAGGACAAGATATCCTTATAATGCAGTGTCCGATGATATTAATTAAAAAACATATAGACTAAGATAATTGCTAACAATAATATAATTTAACTAATTATAATTATTCTTATTAAATAATAACAATCATAACTATTTGAACCTGGTTCATGTGAAAATATTCCTCGACCCTGACTAGTTCCCTGGAAAATTCGCATTTCTTTTTTAATTTTTATATTTGGCATTTGCTTCATTTATATAACATCTTCAGTAGTGTTATTATACAGCTTATTTACACTTTTAATTATACATTTCATATATACGTAAAGAAAGTACAAGTTAAAAGTTGTTTTGTTTTGGCATCACCGAGTTGTTTACCCGAGCTCTGGCTTGAGGAATGGCTGGGCCGCCTCATATTTCCCGTTTTTCAGGGTGAAATGGAGATAACACCCTGTTCTTTTGATAATGGAGGGACGTGTGACGATTGAAAGCCTTCCCTACGAAGTTCTGGAAAGAATTTTGACTGACATACGAGTGAAGGTGGAAGATATTGTGAGCTGCTGTGTGACGTGCAAGTACCTGTGTGGGGTGTGTCAGCGCAACTCTCTCTGGAAAAGAAAGTTCAGTCAGCATTACCCATACACCTACAGCTACAGTGAGTCGATCTGCAAAGAAAAAGTGGACTGGAAGGCCAAATATGCATCACTCTATAGGTGCAAGAAGAAGCTGATCCAGTGCATTTTAGCACTGTCTAGAACGTTTGTGTGGTCAATGTATCATGACTACGAGTGGCCAGACATCCCCAGGAGAGCTCTAGATCTGTATGAGACACTCTTCCTTGACGACCTGGGCGATGCCAACCTCTTCTATATACTGGACGAGTGTTACAATATCATGAAGACCGGTCCGCAGTGCATGGACCTGACGCTGAAGCATTACGCCGGTAAGCTCTATAGCCATGTCTACGAGCGCTGTGTAATTAATGCAGAGTGGAAGAAGTTTATCGAACAGCCGGAAGAGTCGTTGAAGTACAGCTACGAGGAAGGGTTGCTGTGGGTAGTGGTGAGCCTGCAGCCCATACGTAGTGAACCCCAAAGCAAGAAAGTAAGGATCATGCTGGACAAACTAGCAAGTGAAACGCTTTGTTACATAAGGCAAAAATACCCAGATAATCCACTGTGTAATAAAATGGAAACAAAGTGTGAGTTCCTAACTGGAAACGTGAGCTACTGGAAAGGTGAACACTGCAGCGAAATTGTGCAAGCGGTACATTATGTAATTAAACACGAGTATGGTTTTAAAATCAACAACAGTTTATATGAGAGTAGACCTGACCATTATTGTGTTGATCAAGTTCTTATAAACAGAAAGGGAAGTTCAAAACTGTTGCTAGTTATTGAGTCTTGTGTGGCAAATCGACTTGGTGTACATATTGAAGTTCACAAAAATGTGACGGGTCATGTGTTAGATACGTGGAAACTGTACTTTGTTGGCCAGGATGGTGTGAGTGGATATTTAAATGCTTGTGAAATATGTAAGAAAGATCCTTCATCACTGAGCATTGTGATGAGTGAGTGGCAGGAAGGACAGACTGTGGATGCTCTGGGAATGTGCCAGTCAATAATTCAGCAAATTGTATTTTTGGCAGAATGTTGGTTGAAAGGGGAAAGATGGCAAGCTGGTGAACCTGTTCTTTATGATTTACTGATGAGGAAACGTATAATCAACCAATTCGGCTGTTATTCACTGCTTGGCAACATGTTGAACACTGGAAAATGAGCCGTCTTTATCATTACATGCATCAGCTTTTAAATATAAATAAGAGTCATCAGACGCAAGGAAAACTTTTGCATCTTAGTATCCTGTTACGCATAAACTCCAAAGATACCCTTGAAAAATTGTTAGAATTCAGAAGAAGAATGGGGCAGCCACCGAACACTATGCGAGACCTGCTGCGAATGCTAGCCAGTGTAGACAAGAGAGCACGCACAAGGGTCTCAGAACTAAAAAATCTCCTATCAACAGCAGTTACAAGTTACTCAAGTTTGAATCCTCTGGCCAGTGTTCCTTGGCCACATGGATGGCCAGGAGGTGAGATGGTACAAAAGAGACGAGTTGATCGGAAAAGTTGGCAAGTACAGTTTGCAGTTGGAGAGGTTTTGGAACAACGAGGAGGAGATCTTTGTGTAGTATATGACTGGGATTCCATGTGTGTAGAAAGTGAAGATACATTGGTACTGATGGGAGAAACTGGACTTGCACATGGGACAGATCAGCCTTTTTATAGGGTTCTTACAGATGGTGGGTCAGCTCGTTATCTTGCCCAGGAGAATCTTCGTCATGCCCGACATCCTCAGCACCTGAAAAATCCCCTGATTGGTCGTTACTTTACAGCTTTCATCTATCCTTTTTACATACCTAATCCCCAAAAGGCATATGAATATCCAGAGGATGCAAATATTCGTGAGCAAAATGCATTAACATTAAAATTAAAATTTGCTGTTAATGAATAGTCTTGTATATTGATGCTATGCATCACAACTTTTAAATGTGTAAAAGCTTGAAATTGTAAAATGTATAGTAAATGTGAGACGGAATCTAATTTTGTGTGTCAGTTACATGTCATAGGGAAACCAATTTTTTGTAAGTATTAACACAAATTATACCAGATAAAAATATTTATTAACAAATACTGCTTTGGCATTAAGTTTGCAAATTGTGTGAGTGAACTTAATGTGTATGACATTTTCAGTGAAAATGTGTTTGCACATGCAAAAAAAAGTCATTCAATAATGTAATTTCAGAATACTCAAAAAATCTTGCATTCCATTCTCTACTGAATAAAAAATCCTATTGTATATGTATTAAAAACCGGTGCCTTGTTAATTAGAATGTTTTACTCTAATAACCATATTTTTCCTGTCCTTCATAAATTTAATAATGCATTATATACAGTAGGACCCCCATATTCGCGGGGGATGCGTTCCAAGGACCTGCCGTGGATACCGAAACTGCAGATAAGTCCTATGTATACCTCTTATAAAGTTTGATAAATTATTTACAATAAGCGGAGAATTATCACTTTTTCACTGATGGGAAGCACTTCACAGCTCTCTTAGGCTTCTCTACCTTTGTGCTTTGGGGCCATGATTATGCAAAATTAAGAGGTATTTTTGGGCCACAGTACACTGTGGATATGGGGCTTCTTACTGTATATTAATATTAAAAACCACTTTGTTCTGCGGATGCATTAATGTGTATACCGCTGTGAAGAGTGGTATTCCAAACGAAAGTAAAATAAAATTAGTCCTGTAGTATCCATGCCTATGAACGTGTTTGCATCAGGAGCCATGCTCATTAAGTATGCCTGTGCATGATACAAAAATTGTAGTAATATGATTTACAAAAATCATTTTATGCCTCTTTATGCAATAAATTTGCAATTTTTGCTTTTTACTTTTTATGTATTATATAAAGTTCTATTCAAACATGTACATCTGCATTTTTTAAATGGATTATAAAAGCACAGTATAGTAACTTTTTTAAATGGCTAAAGATAGTTCATGGAAGAGTTGTATATCTTTCAAGTAACAGTGGACCATAAGACTACTCAAATGGATTCAATTATGTAATATATTTATATTAAGTGCTGTAGTGGTTTGGGGGCTAGATAATTGGACTAATATAATTTCACTAAATTTCCCTTATGGGAAAAATTTCGATGTTTAGTGGCATGAGCTACTTACTAATCATAAAAGTCTAATCACTGATAATTCAGCTTGTACATTAAGCTTACTGAGTTTATATAGGATTCAACTTTTGCACTTGGAATAAAATTATCATTATTATCAAGAGTGCGTATGCCCTTGTGAGTTTGCAACTTAGTTATAATTGTAGGGCATACCTTTAATAGATTAGTTTTTTATACTAGGATTGGGTTTGTGGAATCATTTAACATAAATAATTTTGTTTTTTTGGTCTAATTTAGAGTAAAAAAGTCATGGCATAATTTATAATTGAACATAAACTTTGGTTGCTTAGATAAATTAATGTATTCAGTGTGGAACTCTTTTTTTCTAGATTTATTACTAATCCGTTTCCATAACGTCAACTCCCCAAATCCGAAACGTACGAAAACCGAAGTAATATTTCCCATAAATAACGTAAATCCAATTAATCTGTTTCAGACGCCCATAAATATTAATAAAAAATAAATTTTATAGAGAATAACTATAGTGTTGCAGCTCTTCAGTGGATAGCTCTTCCCTGTGGTTGTCCAACAACTCTTCCACATCCTGGCCACTCACATCCAACCCCTTGGACTTCCCCAAAGCCACAATAGATTCCACAACAGGCACAAAGTTGTCAAGTTTACACTAACTTATTAGGTTAGTAATAGAACTAGGCATTAAAACACAATAAAAAGTAAAATACATACACAGTACATTCATTACTTACCTTCAAATATTTGTAGTCTTAACGTAGGGCGAGAGGTGAGTAGTATCTATTTGTAGTCCCAGGCGGACTACATCCGCCTGGGCTATACCTACCGGCTACATACACTGTGGCCCACAGCCATATTATTACCATAGACATACCATGTTCACCGAGTCTAATCGTCTCTTAACAACTATCATTAGATGCCATCATAATAAGAGGGAGAAGTAATTAATAATTCATGCCGAGAATTGTAAACAAAAGTGTTATGTAAAGTGTTAAGGGCGGTGACTGGGCCAGATGCAGATTCATGCAGTTTTCTCTAACACTGGACCAGAGAAAACGTAATGTTTTTCCTCCAGCTCGCCTCCTGTGGCAACATGGCAACATTCGAAAGACTAAGTCTCGCACCCATCTAAAAGTGTAGGCAGAGAACATCAAAGAGCAACTCCTTCATGTACTGTGGAATGCATCTGGTGGGGCTATCCTGTTATCATACTCATACCACATACAATATGTTTTGGACTGATTTGTAGGGTTTAACATGAAGCAAATTTTGCATTGTGTGTAGAGGACAGAGTCTTGTTCTTTTCCATTGTATATTTTTGACTGATTTGTAAGGTTAGTATGAAGCAAATTTGACATTATGTATACTTCCCTTGACCCCTAAGCCTATATATTTTGGGCAGATTTGTAGGTTTTGTTACAAATTCTTTTGGATTATGTATCACTGATGCTATGTCATATGACCCCCTTTTTTTTTTTTTTAATAGTGGCTTTTATGATGAATCCTAAACAGTTAAGACCAATGTTTTCTTTTAAGCTTTTGTTTCAGATTGGTGCTTTTCTTTAAGATAAATGCTGCACTACTACTTAAACAACTTCATTTCTATAAGAGTGGGGTACTGTTGTACAATATACAATTAGGGTAATTGGCACGTATAAACTTCTTTATAGAAAGCTCGTTATGCAAGGCATTTTGGGCAGCCTTAAAAATACTTGTAATTACTAGACAATGAGACATACATGGTACATGAGAATTAAAATACAGTGGACCCCCGGTTAACGATATTTTTTCACTCCAGAAGTATGTTCAGGTGCCAGTACTGACCGAATTTATTCCCATAAGGAATATTGTGAAGTAGATTAGTCCATTTCAGACCCCCAAACATACACGTACAAACGCACTTACATAAATACACTAACATAATTGGTCGCATTCGGAGGTAATCGTTATGCGGGGGTCCACTGTACTTAAGTTTGTACAATATTGAAGGTATTCAGTAATTCAATAAAAAATTCTTAAGTATACATAAAGGATGATAGATACATGAATTAATACAAAATATACCTTGCTAGTAATGAGAATTGAAGGAAGGATGGAACAAGAACAAGAACAGGGACAGTACTGGATGAAAGACGGATTCAAAATTTGTTCAGCATAATAAATTGTCAGGACCACTCAATGTAAGGAAGTGTTTTTTAACACTAGCTTTGAAGTGGTTAACAGAGCCTCTGGAATCTTCAGATAAAGAATTCCAGATTTTAGGTCCTTTTATGTATATACATTGAGTTTTTACACAGGTTGAACACTGGCAATATCATTGAGATTTTTGTCTTAATATTATGCCTGTTGGAGCTATCAAAAAAGTTTCAGGGAAGGATTGACTGTCTTGTATATGTAGTATGCACAGTAGTATGAGTGAATTTTATATACAGCCTCTCTTCAATGACTAAGTTCCGTTCCTAAGACCACGTCTGTAAACAAATTCGTCGCTAAGTGAGGAGCATACTATAATGGTAGTGGGTTTCTGTCAACCATCTTTGATATTTCTTTAATGTCACCTTTGCACTATTTATAACATTTCTGATATATTTTTAAATGTTTATACAGTAGTGTACTGTATATTGTAATAAACAGAATAGAGAAAATCAGCTCTAATATACATTACAGTACTGCATTTTATGGTGAACATGATACTCTGGTGTTGAGGATGCCCCCCAATTTTAACCGGTTAAATTTTGGAAAAAAAAAAATTATTTTATACAAAACAGTTTACACAATTCATTATTAGATTACATACATGAGCACAGACTACTGTCTAGTATCAAAACACTTCTTTAGGCTTAGGACGAGGCCTATGACTAAACCTTCAGCCTCCAAGACGCTGGTAAATTATCCAGACTTATTTGGGGAATAAAATAGTATCTTCAGTACTGTAAAATACAGTACTTTCACTGATCTTGTAATGCTGTATAGCATGATATTATACTTGGTATCACTGGTAATAATTTGAGAAAGGATATATGCATCATTGCAATTTCTGGGCAGAATTTTCAGATGCTTTCTTTAATGCAAACATTTTTATTTTTCCTGCTCTTCTCTCCAGTGGTTAGCATCTTTGCTTTGATTTCTCTACTGACCAGGTTGCTTCATCCTTTCCAGTAATTTCCTTCCCTCAGCACTACCTCTTTCCTCCTGCCTTCTCTTTTTATTCCTCTCTGCCCTGCATCACTGGATGACCCATATGAAGTTAGCTCATTTTTAGCATACTTTAGCAAAACCTTGATATAGGAGATCTTCATTTAACAGATTTCTGAAACTGGACAAAATCTGCTGGGTAAATTGATTTTGAAAGTGGGAAGAAAATCATTTGTTATTGTTATTTAATAGAGTAGGCCAGCAGAGCTTCACAGCTCCTCAGACTCAGAATAAGATTTATCCAAAGTCAGAGGCAAAGCAAACTTTTCAATGCAAAAGGTAAATAAAATAATTTTATTGTACTTTTAACTTCTTTGTTTTCAGTGTTATTATATATCTGTAAATTGTGTGCGTGAAACTATTTTATTCAGTAGAGTATGGTAGTTTATTTTTTTAACATTTGCATACGTTAGACAATTGGTATTACCAAACACCCTCGTTGCTTATTAATCCATTAAACTGCAGTTTTAGTGGAAATAATATCAACGTTTTCCAATACTACATATAATAATCCTGTGTTAATATTTTGGTGCATTGTAATTTATTTGCACATACAGTATTACTTTCCTCGTTACTTTTTTGTTTTGGTTGACAAGTTAATTTTTTTTAGCCAAGTCTAAGTTAAGATCATGGTACAGTATAATATAGAGCTGTAGAAGAGCACTGATGTTACGAAGGTGTCC